GAGTATGAGAGGGTAAAGGAACTTGGAAATGAGAGAAAATAGAGAATAAAAAGGGGGGAATAATGAGAAAGGGTGAAGAAGGACATGGAAGATGATAAGGAAAGTGAAGGAGAAAAGAGAGAATGAATGAAAAAGTGAGGAAAATGCTGTGTAAAGAGGGGGGAAGTATAGAGCGATGAGGAAGAACTTGAAAGATGAAAAATGGAGAGTTTGAGTAAAAAAAGAAAGGAAAAAAGAGAGCAGTCAAAGTTTAATAAAATAGAATCATTGATAATTCACAATAGAAAATATCATGTAAAGAATGGAGGGGTAGAAGGGATAGAAAAGGACTTCGAAATTGAAAAAAAAAGAAAAAATGAGAATTTCTTTTTTAAAGGAAAATTGAGATAATTGGCTAGTTCACAGGTAATAGAAAGATACTACATAAAAAGAGGGATATAGAGGATAAAGAAGGAGCTTGGAAATGGAAAAAAAAAATAGAAATGAAAGAGATCTAAGACAAAAAAAAAAAATAATAGATAATGATAAGGAAAACTTCTATAGAAACTGATATAATGAATTCACAGTATAAAAAAATCGTGTGCAGAAAAGGAGAGAGGCATAAAGAAGATGAAAATGACTTGAATTCAAAAAAAAAGAGAAAGGAAAGGAAGACATGGAGGAAAAGGGACTGAAGTAGAAAAAAGAATAGGGTAAAAATGCGAGGAAAACTTTTATTAGAACAATTTGTTCACAGTATAAAAAATAATGTATAGAAAAGGGGGTATATAGAAAATAGAAATAATAATGAAATAGAAATAGTTGAAATGAATGGTGAGGAAGCTGAACATAAAAGTAAAATAAAGGATGTTTTACAGTATAGAAAAGAAAAATGTAGAAAAAGCGGGGAATACAGAATTCAGAAAGGACTTAAAGACGAAAATGACAAAATGAGAAAACGAACCAAGAAAAAGAAGAGAAAGAGAAAATTAAAAGCAAAACCAGAGTCCCCAGAAAGAAAAATAGAAAATAATTAAATCTCAAGAAAGGGAACAAGAATGAGTTAAAAAAAAAAAAAAAAAAAAAAAAAGAGAGAGACGAAAATAAAAAGATGAAAATATCTATAGTTTTCTTCCAAGGTCACAGCGAGACTAACACACTTACAACAGCTGACGTAGTTAAGGGCGAATATTTCTTGCTCGAGGCCCCTGCATAAACGCACCGGGTCTTATGAAGGCTTTTCCACCGACAGGCTATGCTGGGGGAGGTCCTCGCTGCCTCATGGATATATGCTGGGGCTCCTTGCATGTTGTGTATGCGGTGAAGTGTGTTTTTTTTTTTTTATCTATTCTTATTTTCTTTCTTCTCTCTCTCTCTCTCTATATCTCATCTATCTATTCTGTTCTATCTATATTCTCTCTCTCTCTCTCTCTCTCTCTTCTCTCTCTCTCTCTCTCTCTCTCTCTCTCTCTCTCTCTCTCTCTCTCTCTCTCTCTCTCTCCTCTTCTCTCTTTCTCTCTCTGTCTATCTATCTTCTTCTCTCTCTCTCTCTCTCTCTCTCTCTCTTCTCTCTCTATCTCTCTCCTTATATATATGTAATATACTATATATATATATTATAGTTATATATATATATATATATATATATATATATATATATATTATCATATATATATATATATATATATATATATATATATATATNTAAAGCAAAACACAACACACACAATTCACAGAAAGCTGAGCACAAACCACAGCACAGATCCCACACACAGAAAGTACATACAACACTGCTCTATCATGCATACTTCTCGACATCCATCGTCCTACACATCACACACACACACAGTCCAGAAAAGACTGACAAACAAACGAAGCACAAACACACACTACAGAAAGACTGACAGACAATCTCTCACTGCAGCACTATCCACATACACACAGAAAGACATAACCCACTCACACACACAGTACAGACCTGACCAAACAGCACAAAACACACATCACAGCAAAGACTGTGACACAAACACCACACACACACGACACACAGAAAAGACAAACATCAATCACAACACAGAAGACTGCTCACGCACTCAACACATAATCATACAGTCACACACAACAGAAATGACTGACACCATACAAGCACAACACACTCACCACAGAATGAGACTGACCTACCACGCACATCGACGCTCTCCTGCCGCACACACACACTACACAGAAAGACAAACCACACCATCCACGGAAAGACTGACAAACAAAGCACAAACAACACACCAGAAAGAACTGACACACGCAACACAGAGTTCATAACACACACAGAAAGACAAAACCCCACACACACACAGAAGACTGAATTCTGCTCTGCCTCCATCATACCAAGCACAAACAACACACACATCAGATAAAAGACTGACACACCACCACACACACATCTGCACACACACAGAAAAGAACATAAACCACACACACACAGAAAGACTGACTCACAAACAAGCACAAACACAAACATACACAGCAAAGACTCAACACAACAAGCACGACTACTCACACACACACACAGAAAAGACATAACACAAAACACACACACACACCACACAGACTGCACACATACACACCTCATCTTCACGCACAAAAAGACTAACACAAACACCCCGACCCCCACACACTTCCACCAGAAGAAACACACAAACAAACACACACAATCCCGCACCCAGCCTACAAGCACTAAAATACATGTACACAAGCATGTACGTACTGAATATGCGAGCGTGTAGTGGTGGCTTTTTATCAGGCCCGCGCTATGTCGACATCTCAGGAGCTTATTAATTATGGAATAAATTCGACGATAAATAGAGTAAGAGGCGATAACGAGAACAATAAAATAACGACGACAATTATCGAGAAAGGAGAAATGTGTGATAATATTTTGCGAACTTTATTAAGTGCTTCGGGTGCGGGAAGGGCTGGTGGTGTCTCGGTGATCGACTGGGTGCGTGCTTGGTGATCGACTGGGGGTGGTGGTGTGATGTGGTGTTGGTGATGAATTGGGAGGTGTTGGTGATGACTGTCGGTGGTGTTGGTGATGATCCTCCCTGGTGGTGGTGGTGATGACTGGGTGGTGTTGGTGATGACTGGGTGGTGTTGTGGATCGGATCTGGGCCGGTGTGTGGTCGATGACTGGTGGTGTTTCGGTGGTGACTCAGTGTGGTGGTGATCATTGGTGGTGTGCTGGTGATGACTGTGCTGGTGGGTGATGACTAGGGTCGGTGTTTGTGATTGAGTGTGCGCTGATGACTGGTGCTTGCACTGGGTAGTTGTTGGTCGGTGACTGTGGCGTCTCGGCTGTTGGGTGATGACTGGGTTGGTGTTTAGTGTACTGATTTGGTGTGTTCGGTGTGATGACTCTGGCGTGTTGCTCTGGTGGTGATTGGGTGGTGGTAGTGATGATGTGGGTGGTGTTGTTGATGTCTGGGTGGTCGCTTGGTTGATCTGATTGGGTGGTGGTGGTGATGAGCTGTTTTCAGTGTTCTCTTGGCTCTCGCACTGACTGGGTGCTGGTTCGGTCGTGTGCATTGAGCCTGTGTGGTGGCTTTTGTATATGACTTGGGCGGTGCTGGTTATGCACTTCGGTAGGTGTTGGTGATGATCTCCGGTTTGGTATTGGTGATGACATGGGTTGTGTTCGCGTAGATGACCTCTGCTGGTGCTGGTGCGTGGTGATGACTGCGGTTCGGCTTCGCTTGGTGCTACTTGTCTTGGGGTGGTTGGTGCAATGATATCTCGGCGCTCGCGTGTTGGTGATGATTGGTGGTGGTGGTGGTGACTGGTGGTGGGTGTGATGACTGTGTGGCTGTTGGTGATGACTTTGTTCGGCGTTGGTGATGACTGTTCGGTGTTGTGTCGATGACTGTGGTGGCTGTTGGTGTGCACTCGACTGGGTGGTGTTGGTTGGTGGTGGTGACTGGGTGGTGGTGGCTGATGTCGACTGGGTGGTGTTGGTGATGACTGGGTGGTGTTGGTGATGACTGGGTGGTTGTTGGTGATAGATTTGGGAGGTGTTGTGAATGGACTGGGTGGCGTTCGGTGAATGACTGGGTGGTGTCTGGGTGATTCGCACTGTGTGGTGTTGGCTGATCGACTGGGTGGTGTTTGGTGATGACTGGGAGGTGTCTCTGCGTTCACTGACTTCGGTGGCGTTGGTTCGTGATTGATTGGCTCGTAACTCGATGGTGGTGGTGATGATGGTGGTTCGTGTGTCGTGTCGATCACTCTTGGGTGGTCGGCTGTTCGGGAGTGGTGTGACTGTGGGGCTCGTTCTGGTGAATGTCTGAGTGGTGTTGGTGGTGACTGGGAGGTGGCTTGGTGGTGATGGGTGGTGGGTGGGTGACGACTGGGTGGTGTGTTCGCAGATGATGACTTAAGAGGTGTTGGTGATGACCTGTGAGCTGGTAGTGGTGGTGATGACTTAGGGTGGTCGTTGGTGGATGACTGGGTGGGTCGTTGGTGATGATTGGTATGACTGGGTGGCTCCGATTGGTGATGATTGGTGATGACTGGGTGGTCGTTTGGCTGATGACTAGGGTTGGTGTTAGGTTCGATGACGTGTGGAGTTGTTGGTGATGATTCTGCGGCTGTGCTTCCCGGTGGGGGATAAATTGGTGACGGTGATACTGGACTGGTGTCTGACTCGCGTGATCGATGACTGAGTGATGGTGGCTGAGTGCGCAAACTGGATGATGATCGGTGTGATCACATGACTCGTGGGTGATAAGAACCGGGTGATGACTGGATATGAAATACGGTATGCAACTTGGGTGATAACTAGGAAGCTATGTGATGTAACTGGTGATGGCTGGGCTGGTAATTATTGAGTGAAGATTATTTGTGATGACTGAGCTACTGATGGTCTGCGTGATCAGCTTAGTGGTGATGACTAGGGTGATGAGATGGGTGGGGGTGGGCCTTTTTTTGCATAAGAAGAAACTTCTTGGCGCGGGGGCTTTCTTTTTTGCAAATAATACAGGGTGTGAAAAAAAAAAAAAAAAAACCCCTGGGGGTTTTGGATTCTTTCTTGCAATTTTAATCGAGTGTATAGAGCTCGGTCGATTGACTGGGTGGCTGATAAACTAAGTGAGAAATTGATTCTTACCTATCGCTTGCCGGAGCGAGGAATAATTAGGTGATGATCAACTCTACTGATGATCGACTTTCGGCTGTGAGAGGAGAAGGAGAAGGAGAAGGAAGAGATCGGATACATAGTGGTGATGATAATCTATGGTCCATCATCATCCTATTTTACCATCACCCCCGCCATTTTTTGTTATGATAAATATCTTTTCTCAAGAACTGCCTGAGCTAAGAATTGTGTGCTTCTGTTCTCTCACTGTGTCTTTACAAATATACTTTGTTCTCCGTTAGAATATAGATCATTACGTTTATTTTCTCCTATCTTAGTTAACATTAATTATTCCAGGAATAACTAAGAAATACTCGATTGTGCGAAAGTTCTATTTAACACATAACCTTATTATTATTTATGATTGATGGTGATTATTCTACCGTTTTTATTCTCACATATTTTATTATTATAATGATTGTTGTTTATCGAATTACTATAGTTACTTAAGAAAATATCTCGTCCTGTTCATATGCCCTTATTAAAAAAACTGATTTGATTTATATTACATCTCTCGTGATCAATTATTCAACAATACATCAATTGATAATAAAGAGTCAAAGAGTAAAGGTCTCTAAATTTTATGAAATAACTAATTCTCTGTACTTATTTTTAATCAAAATTCAGCTCTTGTCTCTGCTCGTGTCAAGAAAAAAAACAAGAATTCGGGTTCTGCTTTGAAACGTGTGCTTGACTTGTCTTGGACTTCTGGCTTGATTTTGCTTGACTTGGCCCTTGATTTTGCTTTCGCACCTTGGCTTGAGTGGTCTTGACTTGCTTGACATTGCTTGATTGTCTTGAGACTTGCTCTTGATTGGCTTGACTTGGCTTGTACGTATCTTGACTTGGCTTGGGCTTGGCTTTGACTTCGGCTTCGATACTTGCTTTGACTTGGGCCTTATTTGGCTTGACTTGGTTGACTTGGCTTGATTTGGCTTGACTTGTCTTGACTTGGCTTGACTTGGCTTGACGTATGCGTGACTTGGCTTGTACTTCACGCTTGACGTGTCTTGTGCGCAACATTTGTTCAGACTAATGCGAAAGGAATGGACGCGAAAGCAGGAAAAAAGAGCGAAGAGGAAGAAAGCAGAGGACGAATCAGATCAGAATCAAATAATTTTTTTAGGCCAAAATACAATATCGCACACAAAAATACAGCACATGTGGTAAAGCTGAATCCTCCTTAAGCCCCTTGTTTCATAAATTCATTGAACAAGCACAACGCGAATAACTCAGGACATATATGTAGTAAATAAGTAAATCAAATAAATACATTACTGCATGACATTGTACATACTGTAAACAAATAATACAATTACTCGCATGACATTTATAGACTATGAATATTAAGGGAAGATTACAGGCAGTAATAGGGCAATAAGAAAACACTAACATTATTCACTTGATACGATATAAATTAATTACACACTCATAACACATAGACACGACATTTTATCCCTACCATGCACATACACTATATATAAACTATATAACATAGGTACATATACATATATACTCGAATTACATCATACACAATATGTTATACGATATATTAACATACACATACATAAATGAACATTACCTATATAATGCAGACATACATTCATATAAAGCACATACACCAATGGTGCCTTAATTACGTAATATACTTTATATCATGCACACATACACATACACACATATAGCATACAAATATATATATTATATATATACACATATACATCACACATTTACACAGAGGGAAAAGAGAAGAAAGAGGAAGAAGAGGAAGAGGAGAAAGAGGAAATGAAAGAAGAGGAAGAAGATCAGAAAATGAAAGAAGAAGAAGAAGAAACGAATAAAAAATAAGAAGGAAAAGAAAGAAAGAAAAAACCTCTTTCTCTTCCCACCTGGAATGCAATCGAATAAACTAGAATGATAAACGAATAAATTAATAAATCAGGGCATTTGGAAAGGAGGAAGAAGAAGATAACCCACATTCTCTCTTCATAAAATAATAAACAAAGGCAAGATAATGCTTAGCCCGTTTTCTTTGCGTCGACCGGTAACTCAAGGATGTTGTAAATGATGGTTAATAAGAACTAGTTAATTAAATGACTAAATAATTAAAAATATACTAAAAAAAATCGATTACTAAAATACAAATTAAAAAAATAAAGATAATATAAAAAAACACTAAAATACGGAAACTAGATTAATTAATGTAATGTTTCAAAAGATAATTATAGAAAAAATGTGATGATTAATTAAACAATAAAATATAACAAAGTATTAAAATTAGAGTAAAACAAACAAACAGCCAAGATTTGGAAATGTTTTTGAAATAATGATAAATTAAAGAGATGAAAATGATAATTTCAAGATATTCAGGTATTCTCGTCAAAGGTGACTTTGATGAGATAATTAGGACAAAGAATGATAATATTCCGACAAGAAATCGCTCATAAAAAAAATTAATATTGATTTTAGTTTTTATAAATGTCGATAAGATACAGGAGTAAAAAAAATATTAGAAATATAAATATATTTATAATGATTCTATTATAAAAGCATGTTTCATGGCCAAAGCGTGTGCGTGTGTGTTGTGTGTGTGTGCTGTAATGTGTTATGTGTTGTGTGCATGTGTCTGTATGTGTCTGTGTATAAGTGTGTGTGGGTGCTTTATGTGCATGTATCTGAATGTCTGTATGTGCCTGCATGTGTGTATGTGTCAGCCTGTGCACCTCCTTGTGTATGTGTACGTGTGCATTCATCATATCCGTACACATCCTCGTACATGTGCACATACCAACCCCCCCCCTCCTTATCAAGATCGCTTATCTCCAAAGATAACCAAGGGGAAAGTAGATTATAAATAGTTTAAAGCTGTCTTCAAGATTTCTCTTCTCTCCTTGTCACTTCCTGAGAATCTTTGATAATTAAGAGACGGGAAGATTCTTAATGAAGACGCGGGGAGGGGAGGAGCAGGGAGAGGGAGAGTGGCACGGAGGGAGAGGGAGAGGGAGCGCGAGACGGGAGAGGGAAGGGACGAGGGTAGAGGGAGAGGGGGCACGAGAGAGAGGGGTCAAGATGGAGAGGGACGAGGGCAGCAGACCAGGGAGTGATAAATAAAGTGGAATTCTAGGGCTCAGAAGGAGGGGGTCGCGGGGAAGAGGTGCAAGCGAGCGGAAGTAGCGGGTAGAGATGTCGGTGAAGGCTGTGGAGGAAGGTCATAGGAGAGGGGTGGAGGGCAAGTTGAATGGAGAGTGGGTGGGGAGGGCAAGAAAATAGGTGCAATAGAGGCAAGCAGAAGAGAGGGTGGTAGGTGCAGGACAGGGAGGGGGGAAGGAATCGAGGGACAGTGCATTCTCTACGCTATGCATCTGAGATCGCGTGCGCGATGGAGCAGACGCAGTTGACGCAGAATAGAGAGGCGTGCGGACTGGGGGGTAATATAAATAGCATATATTCATGATACTAGAGTAGACAGTAGACAGAGACCCACAAACAAAGAACATGCTAGACTATAACTAAACAAACTAACTAAAAAGAAAACAAAAACCTCTTCTCCGCCACACACCATTCTCTAAAAAATAATCAATAAATAAATAGTATAACATTACACAAACGAATAAAACACGGGACCGACTCCCAGCCCAATCCCCTCCCTTCCCTATCTCTTCTCTTACGCTCCTCCTTCTTTTCCTCTCATTCGCAGTACCCTCTCTGGCTCTCTGTTCTCCTCCGTCCGTCATTCTCTTGCCGCCGAGTCCTCTCGCTCTCCCCCTTTCCCCCCCTCCCCCCGCCTTCCCTCTTTGCAAGCTGTCCTCGCCCCCTCCTCCTTTCCCTTCCTTCACCCCTCTTCCCCTCCCGCTGGTGCCGAGCTATATCCCCCGTCTGTCCCCCTCTCAACCTTACCCCTCCGCCCTGTGCATTCGACGCTATGACCGGCTGTCCTCGTTGATTATGTGAAGTGAAGGGGCGTTACGATGAGTGCGTAGATGAGTCGAGCTGTCTGCCTCTCATCAGTTGTTCAGGCAGCATTGGGATCTTAAAGGTTAGTATTAGAGTGCAGGGCTGACAATATTCATCATCGACGGGATCTTGGACCTATCTCCCGTCCCTCCCCCCCCATCTATCCTGGCAATACTCCACTCCTTCCTCCCTCGCCCCCCTCCCTTCCTCCTCCACCCTTCCTCCCTCCCTCCTCCCATTCACCCCCCCCTTCCGGCCTTCCCTCTGGCAACTTCCCTCCCCTCGCCCCCCCCTTCTCTCGTTGCAGCCCGGATTCTAAACCAGTTTGCAAAGACTTTCATCCACATCCCCCCCATTATCTAGATCAACGTGGAAGGCGGGTTGGTTCAGCCGAAAGATATCTCCGTGTTGAAACATATGGCCGCGGACCAGGACTCGCATACTTCGGGGGGGGGAGGTAATTATGATTACAATTATTTTTTTCTTTTTCTCTCTCTCTTTTTTTTTTTTTTTTTTTTTTTTTTTTTTTTTTTTTTTTTTGGCTGTCTGTTTGTTGTTTTTGTTTGTTTGTGCCAGGTTGGGTTTGTTGATTGCGATAATGGGGGAGGTTATTATTCTTTGGGGGAGTTTTTGATGATTGAATTAATGTTTATGGATTTTTTTATTTTTTTTTATCTTCATTTCGATGGTAAAGTTATGTTTTTATTTGATGTCTTTATTAAGGATGTGAATGTTGCCTTCAACATGGAGTGAGAGTAAAACATTGATATGTATATAAATAGATTTCTATACAATACATAATTATATTTAATATATATAATATATATATATAATATATTATATATTATATATATATATTATATATATATATATTAATATATATTG